TAGAAAAGAACAAAATAATATTTTTCAAAGCCATTTGGCCATTATCATAAGTGAAGTAACTCAGGAACAGAAAACCAAATGCTGCATGTTCTCACTTGTAAGTCTGGGGTAAGCAATGGATTTGCAGGAGCATGCAGAGGGGGATCACGGACATTAAAGATTCAGAAAGGAGGAGGGTTGGAGGCGAGTGAGGGATAAAAAATTACCTATGAGGTAAAATATACACTATTTGGGTGACAGGTACACTAAAAGCTACAGACTTCACCACCATACAATTCATGCATGTAACCAAAAACTACATGTAATCCCAAAGCTATTGAAATTTTTAAAAAATTATTTCAAAAAGAAAAAGCAGTGGTGTATGATTCTCCCAGTATTGAGTGTATGTTGTATATAGTTACTTTTTTTATACACACAACATGAAAAGGGAGAAAAAGAATAATTTTACAGAAGAGATTTTTAGAACTAAAAGATTTTTATCCAGGTGATCAAATTAACATCAACAGTGATAAAGCCTATTGACAGCTTGTGCCCTGGATATTATGTGATAGGAATGGTACTTTTCATTTGTATTCTTCCTGCCTTAAACCCAGAAGTCCAGTCTCATCATGAGAGAAACATCAGAGAAATCCCAAATCAGAAATGTCAATGGCGTCAAAAACAAGGAAACGCTGAGAACCTATCACATTCAGTGAAGCCTATAAAGCTATAATATCTAAATGTGATGACATATCCTGGAAGAGATCCTAAAACATAAACTTAACATTGAGCAAAAACTAAAAAATCAGAATAAAGTTTATATACTACTCAATGATAATACATGATATTGGTTGGTTAATTTTGACAAATGTTCCACACTATGAGATTAATAATAAAGGACACTGTGCATGGAGTATATGGAAACTCTCTACCAGATCTGCAACTATTCTGTAAATCTAAAACCATAAAACCATTTTGTTTTGTTTTGTTTTGTTTTGTTTGTGACAGAGTCTGCCTCTGTTGCCCAGGCTGGAGTGCAGTGGCATGATCTCGGCTTACTGCAACCTTCACCTCCTGGAGTCAAGCACTTCTCCTGTCTCAGCCTCCCAAGTAGCTGGGATTATAATCGTCCACCACCATGCATGGCTAATTTTTTTGTATTTTTACTAGAGACAGGGTTTTGCCATATTTGTCAGGTTCGTCTCGAACTCCTGACCTCAGGCAGATCTGCCCGCCTCAGTCTCCTAAAGTGCTGGGATTACGGGCAATAACCACCATGCCCGGCCTTGTAAAACCATCCTTTAAAACTTTTTTTTTGTAATGTCACTCCCAAGCTTAAAAAAAAAAAAATCATTAGCAATATTGTTGATACCTCCTTTGTGCATCTCCTTAATTTCTCAGTTTTCCTTAAGTACTGAACTTAACTATATTGTGAATTGTCATTCCATACTTTAAAAATAGTTTTTCCTCTTTGAGTATTTCTGAATACTATATTCTTTAGGTCTTTTTTGTCTTCAGATTTAAGTGAAGGTGTTTAATTTATTGATACTCCTAGTTTAATCATGAGAAAACTAACTAAAACCATAACGTGGGACATCCTATTAAATACCTGATGGGTACTTTTCAAAAGGGTCAAGGTCATGAAAAAGAAGTGAAGGCCAGGAAACTGTTTCATATAGGAGAATACCTGAAGTGTCAAGTAGACTCTAAGTTGGTGCCCACTTATCCTCACCTTTTCATATACGCAACCTTCTACTGTAATCCCATCCAAGTGAGTCTAAGCAGGAATTGTGAATTGCTTTGAAACAGCAGAATAGTGCAAAGGTACAGAAGTGTCACTTGGATTCTTATATATGATTATGATTTTGGTCTTGCTAGAAATGTCTCTCTCGACGGATTTTATGAAGCCATGTGAGAGAACCCTCCTTGGAAAGGCACTTTATTTAGCCAATGGCCAACAGCCAGGAAGGTAAGAGGCTTTCTGTACAATAGACTATTCTATAGCTGCAAATATTATATTTAAAAGTAACCATACTGCCCAAAGAAGTTTACAGATTAAATGCCATTCCCACCAAACTACTAATGACATTCTTCACAGAACTAGAAAAAAAACTGTGTTAAAATTCCTATGGAAACAAAAAAGAGCCCCCAATAGCCAAGGCAATCCTAAACAAAAAGAACAAAGCCGGAAGCATCATGTTACCTGACTTCAAACTATACTACAGGGATAAAGGAACCAAACAGCATGGTAGTGGTACAACAGCAGGCACATAGACCAGCTGAACAGAATAGAGGGCCTAGAAATAAGGCCACACACCTATGACCATCTGATCTTTGACAAAGCTGACAAAAACAAACAATGGGGAAAAGACTCTCTATTCAATAAATGGTGCTGGGAGAACTGGCTAGCCATATGCAGAAGATTGAAACTGGACCCCTTCCTTACACCATATACAAAAATTAACTCAAGATGGATTAAAGACAAATGTAAAACCCTAAATTATAAAAACCCTGGAAGACAACCTAGGCAATACCATCCTGGATATAGGAATGGGCAAAGATTTCATAACAAAAACTCTGAAAGCAATCACAACAAAAGCAAAAATTGGCAAATGGGATCTGATTAAACTTAAGAGCGCTGCACAGCAAAAGAAACTATCATTGGAGTGAACAAACTACAGAATGGGAGAAAATATTTGCAAACTATGCATCTGATGAAAGTATAATATCCAGCATCTATAAAAAACTTAAACAAATTTTATAAGAGAAAAACAAACAACCCCATTAAAAAGTAGGCAAAGGATAAGAAGAGACAATTTTCAAAACAGGACATACATGCGGCCAACAAGCATATGAATAAAAGCTCAGTATCACTAAGAAATGCAAATCAAAACCACAATGAGACACCATCGCACACCAGTCAGAATGGCTATTATTAAAAAGTCAAAAAAACAGATGCTGGAAAGGTTGCAGATAAAAAGGATCACTTACACACCACTGGTAGGAGTGTAAGTTCATTCAACCATTGTGGAAAGCAATATGTCAATTCCTCAAAGAGCTAAAATCAGAACTACCATTCAACTCAGCAATCCCATTACAGGGTATACACCCAGAGGAATATAAACCATGCTTCCAAAAAGACACATCCACATGAATGTTCACTGGAGCATTACTTACAAGAAAAAAGACATGGAATCAACTTTAATGCCCATCAATGACAGGCTGGATAAAGAAAATGTGGCACATATACATCATGGAATACTATGTAACCGAAAAAAAAAGAATGAGGTCATGTCTTTTACAGGAACATGAATGGAGCTAGAAGTTATTACCTTAGCAAACTAACACAGGAGCAGAATACCAAATTATCACATATTCTCACTTTTGGGTGGGAGCTAAATGATGAGAACTCATGAACACAAAGAAAGGAACAAATGACACTGGGGCCTACTTGTAGGTGAAGGGTAGGAGGAGGGAGAGGAGCAGAAAAAATAAATATTGGATAGTAGGCTTAGTACCTGGGTGATAAAATGATCTATACAATAAACCTCCGTTACACAAGTTTACCTATATAACAAAACTATACATGTATCCCCAAACCTAAATTTAAATATATAAAGTTAAAAAAATCAAAATTATATAAAAACTATGAAAAAATAATACTAAAAAATATAAAACAATACGAAACTAAGCTACTTTTCTAATAAAGTTATATTGCTTCACAGTTACTGTATCTTGTAATAACAAATAATCCTAATTCCTTTCTCCTGTCCTTTGCATTATTGCTGATACTTCATACATATGTGTATCTATATACACACACACATACAGACATGCAATGCACATGTGCATATATCTGTACACATATATACTTCTATATGAGATATATACATAAGCATATATTATTTAATAATTTTTTCTATTATTTTCAAGAAATTTTCTTTTATAACAAACTAAGAATATAAAAATGTTAAACCAATAAAAATAAAAATTATATATAACTGATATTTTTAGAAATGCACGAGAGAAAAATATAAAATGCTCAATGAGAACCACAAAAGGCAGAAAATGAATGGAAGATAAAAATAGGAAGAAGGAACAAGGGCAACTAATAGAAAACATTCACAAATATGATAAATATTAATCCGACTGTGTCAGTTACCACTTTGAATGTCAATGGTCTAACTGCACCAAGTAAAAACACAGATTGACAAAGTGAATCAAAAAACAAGACACAACTGTGTTATTTATAAGCTCAACCTAAAAACAAAGACAAATAAGTCAATGAATGGAACAAAACGAACAATGCTAACTCTAATCAAGGTAAACAAGAGGAGCTATATGAATTACAGGTGGAGCAGACTTCAAAGCAAGAAAAGTTATCAGGAATAAAGAAGGGCATTACACAGAGATGAAGAGCCACTCTTCCAATAAGATGTCATAATTCTTAAAACCTATGAGCCTGACAACAGAGTGTAAACTATGAGGCAGAAATCAACAGAATCACAAGGAAAAAGATGAATTCAGTATTGTAATTGGAAACATTAACACCCTATATCAGATACAGGCAGATCCAGCAGGCAGTAATTTAGGGGGGAAAAGCTGAACTCAACAGCACCAACAAGCAACTGGGCATTACTGACACCTATAGTCTCCTTCCCTCAACTACTGCAGATGACACATTCTTCTTAAGCTCACATGGAATATTCAGCAAAATGTGCCACGTTCGGGGACACAAAATACCCTAACAATTTTTAAAAAGTAAATCATGCAATGTCAGCTCTAAGACCACAGTGGAATTAAAATAGAAATCGAAGGATAACTGGAATGATAACTGGAATATCCCAAAATGCATTGAGATTAAACAACACACTTCCATATAATATATGGAGCAAAGAAGATATCTCCAGAGAAATCTTTTTTTAATTAACTAAATGAAAAATAAAAACACAATTTATCAAAATTTGTAGAATGAAAGGAAACCAGAACATATAGGCAAATAAATACCATTGAACACATACATAGGAAACGATGAAAAGACCAGAAATCTGTCATCTGTGTTTCCACCTTTGGAACCTAGAAAAAGAAGAATATATTAAATCTAAAGTCAGTAAAAGAAAAGTTATAACGTTGTTAACAGAGTAAAACAAAGGAAAAGTTAAAGCACCTGAATTTTTCAAACACATATTCAAACCCATAGTTCTCAGAACACAGAAGCACCCAAAATGAACAGGGCACACAAAGCACCCCAAACACTCTTCCTTGCTTACCTGCATGCAGCCACGACCCTCTCAGAAACGGGGGCCCCGCGCTTCAGAAATGCTCAGTCTCGGGCTACTGAGACCGGGCAGTACCGTTTGCTCCGAAGTCATGCCGTACATTTTAGAAAAGCGAAATAACAGGTGTTTAGTGGTCTCGCCATGAAGTATTAGTTAGCTGGTGATTTGATGCACCTGTGAATTAGCTTGACCGAATCTTCCCCAATGAATACAAGAATCAAAGTATCACCCTGTTATCCATAAATATACGCAATATGTCAACTAAAAATAAATGCTTCCGTAAATTCTTTACCTATGAATAATTCACAAATAGGAAACGTAAGAAGTAATAAGTGTTACGTCCATAATATAAAAGGGCGTTTGTGACAAAATGAAAGCAGTTTAAATGTACCTTACGGTCTGGGAAACACGGAGAAATCCTGAGGTTTGAAGAAGGGACGACGACACAGGCAGGCAGCGCCGCAGGAACAAGCGCGCCTTCCGGGAGAAGCGACCCTGAAAGCTCAGCGCGGACCCCGCAGACAGCCCCTTAGTTCCCCTGTAGATCTCACCGCCCTCTCTCCCCCATCATCCTCGCCCTCCGATCGCCGCCCTCCACCCTCCTCACTCACGCCCCGTCAGCCTCGCCTCCACCCTCCTCCCTCACGCCCCGTCAGCCTCGCCTCCCCCCGCGGCCCTCACGCCCCGTCAGCCTCGCCTCCCCCCGCGGCCCTCACGCCCCGTCAGCCTCGCTCCCCCCGCGGCCCTCACGCCCCGTCAGCCTCGCCTCCCCCCGCGGCCCTCACGCCCCCTGTGGGCCTGGCTCCCGCCCCAAGCCCAGCCTGCGCGGCAGCCTCGGACGCCCTCACTGCGCAGCTGCGACCCCCGCGCCCGCACGTCGCTTCAGGCGGCTCCCGGCCTCACCTGCGTGGGCGCCAGGTGGCGAGGAACCAACGGTCTGAGTTTCTGGTCCATGGATTCCACCTACTCCTGCAAAAGGACTGAGGGGACAGAAACCTGCACTGGCGGGGCAGTGAGGGTCTGAACGACGGAGAAAAGGCAGCGAACAAGGACAGCTCCATAAGCCCTGCAGTCAGGCCTCCGAGGTCCTCTTTGCCTTTCTCCACCATCGTTTCTCCCAAACCCACGCCCCCTGGCCGAGCCCAGCAGCCTCCTCGGGGGACAGGGCCCGCTCACTCCTCAGCGTCCCCCGCACAGGCTGAGCTCATGGGCTGGGGTAACATCTCAGGGAACCAAACCCAGACATTCGAATCCCTCCCCGCAGAGTGCAGTCCTCGGGGAGCGGCCCTCCCTGCCTCCCCTGCCCAGTCCCTCCGTGGTCTGCCCTTCGTGCTCCTGCGTCCTCACCAGTTACTCATCCCAGCGGCCCTTCTAATGCACCGCCCTCTTCTCATGGCCTGGCCTGTGCCGGGCACACACGTTTTCCTCCTCCCTTTCCCTCCCGTCTCCTGGACCCACTGCCCCTCACTCTCCAGCATCTCCTCCAATGTTCCTCTCCTGGAGGCTTCCCTTGTCCGTCCCATCCCAGGCCTGAAACCTATCCTCTCAGTTCCCAAGGGCAGCTCTTCCACCTTAAAGTTTAATTTTTGTCAAGTTTTCTGAAACCCTATTGGACGCAAGCATCACAGAACATGGCAACTTTATCTGTGGTGTCTCTGAGCCCCACACATGTACTGGACAAAAAGCAACTCTGAAAATTCTCTGGTAATCTATAAAAGTATAAATCATTTTTAAAAGATTATTATCTGATAAAAGAAAATAAATTTAAGTTCCCGCTTCTTTTCTACAGACTATAATCGGAAAACATTTGCTGTGTGGAGTTGTATGCACAAATTTTCGGAGTGACTTTTTTTGTAAACTGAAGAAGCAATTTTGGTATTTACTCATGAAAGAGTAAGAGAAGAATACACACCTATATTATGAGCCATCAGTGTAAGGAAATATCTTGCAGACGTTTACAAATACTATGTAGAAGGAATCAGAGATTCAAACCAGTATCTATAAATTTCAGGTAAAAGAAAATATGCTGAAGTTTATTCGTGCATATTAACAAAATAACTGCTCTTTGTGTGCTGGGAGTCTTGGTGTTCTGTCTATTCAAATTAATGCTTTTGAATCTTGCAAATTACAACAAACTAAGCCAGATACAAAACCCTTTTTAAGTAGGAGTCTCTAGCAAATTTTGTCTTGTGGTTCCTAGCAAACTTTCTGCACCTCTTCATCTAGAAGTATTTCAGAGGAAATTTCTGGAAAACAATTATAGAGAATGGGTGATATTTCCATTAATTTAATAGTGATAAAATATAAAAATAATTGAAAGATTTTGAAAAATGATTATGAGTAATTAAAAGGCATTAATACACAATACAAAAATTTAAATTTGGTCATACATGATGTTTATGTGATGATAAAAAAGTACGTTTACACAGAAAGTGTCAAAGGCCTTTACATACCAAAACAAACACTGTTTCATTGGGTCAAAACACTGTGTCATTTGTTTTCAGGCAGTAAACAGAATGGTTCTTTGACACACTCAGTCTTTCCAATAACCGAATTCCCCAACCAACACCAGAAGTAGAGCAAGAGTTGGTGTTTCCCACGAAGACACCACAGAGGCAGGCTCAACTCCTGCCTCTACTTAGGCACTCTCTTGGATAGGCGTGGTCTGGAGGAGATAAACCTTGTCTAGGGAGTTGTATGCAGGAAGCACCCAGGGATGTTTGTTTTGTAAAAATAGAGAAGTATAAATTTGGTTGTAGATGATGGCTATGTGACCAAGAAAAGAGTGTTTTCGTTGTGTTTAACACACAAGTGTTAAACACATTTGTAGACAAAACCAAAAACCAAGATATAAAATTACAGTGCCAGGACTGAAGGGGAAATGTGCCATTGGTCAGAAAAAAGAACGATTATTTAACAAATTCATGCTTATACAAAATAACTGAATTCCCCCACCCGAGCCAACAGGGAGCTCCTCCGCTTGTGCATGCAGACCCCACAAGAGGTTCTGAGCTCAGAGGCTCCCTGCTGGTCCTGCCTTTCATGTGCATGGTCTGGAGGAGGAGACCCATGTCCACAGCATCATCTAGAGCAAGGCAGGAGGCACCTGGGGCTGCCTCTCCAGGTTTTCCCACCACTTGCTGTTGTTGAAGGTATGAAAGACATAAACTGAAGGGGGGTGTTCAGGGATCTTAGGAGATTAACAAAGACATTACAGACATAAGAGACAACAATGATATTCTAAAACTCTAAAGCCACTGATTCATTCTAAGTCCAGCTGAGAGTACTCGTGTTTAGGTGAAAGGTAGGAAGATTTTTAATCTTCTTTCACTTCATTATGGAAAAGCACAGTCATTGAGAATAGTCACAAAATTATTGTATTATATGAAGTCTGTTAGCAACTAATAACATGTTACATTTGCAGAGACAGAGGAATAAGGCAATGAAAAAAGAAAACAGAAATACAGACGTGTGTATGTGAACAAATCATTTGTAAGTCAATAAATGGGGACAGATCAGTTTTTCTAAAACTATTCAAAAAAACCTGAATATACACAAGGGAATTAAAATCTGACCTTTAACTTCATTTTACATACAAAATCAGGTGGATCAGTGTGTTTAACTGAAGCAGGTGCACCTGGGTTCAGAATGGTAGCTAAATAAGGAAAGCTGTGCTACTGCTCTTTCCCTACTTGCCCACCCCATCTCCTGAAACCAATATTAATACAGTATGTAGAACATATAAGAAAATATCTTTGGGACTATGTGGTAGGGTAAGATACCTGAAACTAGACCTAGAAAGCACTTATCATATAAGAAAATATTCTACAGATTCTACATAGTTGACATGAGCAACGACTTTGGAAACAGACTGAGTCAAACTCAAAGCTCTTTTAATTCTTTCATGTAGTGCTTGGTGTCAGATTCAGAACTGGCCCGTGGCAGTGGTAGCAGTGCTCATCTCTTGAGATGTCAGGTGGGTTTGTATAAAATAATATATAAAGCACGGAGTGTAATATCAGGTCTATACATATCATTAAGACTAATTTTTATAATAGTGAGATTTATCTTTTAGATTTATATATCAGAATGAAATAATAAAACTTAATAAATAATGGAGCAAATATTTCTAATGAGAGTTTTGTAATTATTTTAAAAACTTTTCTCGACTAATACATTTATATTTGTCTTATATCATTCCTATGATTACATGAGACAGAACAAATATGCAAAATACATTTACAAAGGTATTCCTAACACTTCTTTCATTGAGAACAAACTCTCTGAATCACTTTCAACTCATCTTGTCCATGATTTTCCCCACAATATCATCATCTGTGCTAATCACAAGCATCAATAGTGCTGCATTTCTCATGGGACTCCTGTGCTACTCTATGTAAGTTTATCTTTCCAGTCTCCTGACACCCCCTCTGTAAGTTTTGATGCTTGATGTAATTACCCAAAGATGTCTTTGGGGAGGTTTAGACCATGTGTGCCCGAGGGACAACCATATCATGACTGCTTTCTGGCAACAATGTTAAAATTATAACCCTTTCAAATAGAAGATGTCTCTCTCTTTAAAAGATGTTAAAATGTGTACCAAATAATTGTTTACACACGTTTTCTCTGTGACTGCTCACTTATCAGTGTTAAATCATGGTGGCTGAGGCAGGAGAATCACTTGAACCCTGGGGGTGGAGGTTGCAGTGAGCCGAGATTGCACCACTTCACTCCAGCCAGGGCGAAACAGTGAACTCCATCTCAAAAAAAAAAAAAAAATCATGGTGGCTAATCTGCTATATTTTAGTCAGTTATTAAGTAAACATCCTTGTATATATTTTCACATTAATTTACCAACTCTATCTACATTCTACCTCATTATCAGAGATATTAGACTTAGTGAAGTGCTGTAATTGTTTTATAAACTATGGTTCAATAAATCTATTGATGAGGAAGACATAAATTGTAGAGAGACACCTGAAATTTCTCCCGAAGCATCAGTTTTCTAAAGACTAAGGAAAATCTATATTTAAAAAATTTGTCCTAAAATTAGAAATACAAGCAATGATCCCTGCAAGCTGTATTACAAATTCGATTCTTTAATCTATAACATTCTTGACCTCTGTTCTTCTTCATTCTCATTCACCCTTTTAATCACATAAATGGTGATAACACATAGTCACTGTAGAAGCAGATGCATTGTGATCCTCATAACATGCTTCGTTCTGCCCCCTTGCCACTCTGGCAAACTCTGCTTTTGGACACTTGGATAATGAAATTAGTTTTCCTATTTCCTTGGGAAAATACTAAGTGAAGAAGAAACTCATACAATTCATAATTTAGGACTTTGACTGAAATTTCACCTATAGTTTTAGACTCCTGCAAGGTTGAATTGCATGAACATGAAGTAATGATGTTAAATATATGAGCCATTCATCCATTGAACTACAACTCCTAATCAGGCTAGAGTGTGGAGACAGTATGTTGGAGCATTTGTCTTATATTGCTATCTAACACTTGGGTTTCTTTGCAATGACATCTTTTTTTAGAATTGTGGTGGCCTTTGTGAATTTAGTGGCTTAGTGTATTGTGGGAAATCATGCCTTCCATGCTATTAAAGCACTTGTTTGGGCACTCAGTGCTCAGCACTCTGTCCTTTGTGTCCGTGACAATGTGGCAATACAGTTTTGTGTATATTGCCTGTTTTCCTTTAAACTTGAGAACTCAGAGCTCAATTATTGTGACCACCATGCAGTAGTCCTCATAACTCATGTCCAGGTCTAACTGTGGCTCATGTCTGTCACTCCGGCCAATTTTGGGTCCATTTATTGGTGGGCAGAATATTCACAGTACGCATCATAATATATCAAAAAGCATGCATTAAAATAAAGATAAATAGGAGATCTGTCATTTAAGTATTATACTACAATATCTTCAGTTAAAATTTAAAAAAATGGAATAAGCCTCCTTTAAGATGTCAAATTTAAAAGAGGAGTCGGATCTTAAAGAGTAAACTACATGGAACTTGGAAGACTTGGAAGGTTTCTTAAAGTACAGATGCTCAAATAACAGCACGTAAATCACTGCTATGCTGATATCAGAAGTGAAAAATGTGGTCGAGGTCAGTCATATCTCTAACTCTAGGTCTCCAGGCTGCAAGATCTCATTTTCTCATATAAACTATCAACGTGCTATAGAGAATATACCCCATGTTTATGGGCCATCATAAAGGCTTTGTCTATGTCTGTGAGTGTAGCATGCAGACTCCCGGCTTGGTAGGCTTTGGAGGCATGGTTCTTTGGCACAACCCTGGTGTTAACACGGCAGAGTGCTGTAAAATATGAACAGGGACCTATGTGGGGGATAGCTGGACAGTTCTTCCTGCTGTGAGATTCTTTGTTTAGCTATAACACGTGCAGAGTCACCATTTAGCCTGGGTCCACCTCTTAGATCACTGTATGGTAGGGGGAGATCCGTTACATACTGCTTTTTCTTTTATCTACTGAGCTTTCTCCAGCCACACACAGCATATACTGAATCACTCACATGACTTCACCTGCCAAAAACCAGTTGTCTACAGATTCATATCCAGGTCTTAGTTAGCAAGCATTGTCATAAACCACCATATTTAGAAGCATTCTTTGTGTGTCCTACTCACCTGCTGCCATGATGACATTTATTCTGTGGCCTTTGACCTTGGAAATGGACAATATAATTCCAAGATGTGAATAGCAACAGAATATATGGTCCCAAATAATTCTTGACGAGAAAAATAGAAATTATCACAGTGATTCAATAATCACTTGAAGAACAAATCCCTGTACCAAGGGAAATAAAACACTCTCCTGATTGTAAAAATACAATTTGTGTTCCCTGTCACTAACATTTTGCAATATCGGCTTCTAATGTGCAGCAGTCATTTTTTCCAGAAAGGCTTTGGTGGAATTAGGTGGATAAACTGCCAGACAATGTCTGAAAATGGGGCATCCTGGGATATATGAGGAACAGGCACCTCTCTCTGAAGAAGTGGTTACTGACACTTAAAATGTTGCTGGATAATGAGTAGCATGATTTCAAAGACAAAAATGGATGAGAGTCCCTGGAGCTAACTGTGTGTAACTGAAGCAGGTGCACCTGGGTTTGCAATGGTGGCTAAATAAGGAAAGCTGCGCTGCTGTTCTTTCCCCACTTGCCCACCCCATCTCCTGAAACCGAGCTAATGTGCTTGTGTCTTTTTGGTTTTTTTTGCTTTGCACCAAAATATTATTTTTAAATTATTTTGAAATCATATTTGACTTACAGAAGGATGTATATATAGTGCAGAGAGTTTCATATACCTTTCAGCTAAAAGGAATGTTTACAC